TTTTTCTTCTCCTTCCTCCTCCTCCTCCTCCCTGCAAACCCAACTCCCTTCTAGCACTGATGATATTCCCTAGTTGGGTCATGAAAAGTCTACGAGAAAACTACCAAGCTCAGAGAGCACCAAGGATCCCACAGTTCTCCTCCTCCTCCTCCTCTTCTTCCTCCTCTCTTCTTCTTTTTCTTCTCCTTCCTCCTCCTCCTCCTCCCTGCAAACCTCTCTCCCTTCTAGCACTGATGATGTTCCCTAGTTGGGTCATGAAAAGTCTGCAAGAAAACCACCAAGCTGAGAGAGCACCAAGAATTCTATAGACCTCTTCCTCCCACCCTCTTCCATCCCTGCCTCTCCTTTCCCACTCCTCTCCTCCTTTTCCTCCTCTTCCTTCTCCTCCTTCCTGCCTTTCTCCTGTCCACAACCCCACTCCCTTCTAGAGCTGATGATGCCACCTAGTTTGGTCATCATTGGTGTTGCTGTACTGATGAGGTTGCCTAGTTGGGCCATGAAATGTCTACGAGAAAACCACCAAGCTCAGAGAGCACCAAGGATCCCACAATTGTCCTCCTCCTCCTCCTCTTCTTCCTCCTCTCTTCTTCTTTTTCTTCTCCCTCCTCCTCCTCCTCCCTGCAAACCTCTCTCCCTTCTAGCACTGATGATGTTCCCTAGTTGGGTCATGAAAGGTCTACGAGAAAACCACCAAGCTCAGAGAGCACCAAGGATTCTATAGACCTCTTCCTCCCCTTCTCTGCCTCTCCTTTCCCACTCCTCTCCTCCTTTTCCTCCTCTTCCTTTTCCTCCTCTTCCTTCTCCTCCTTCCTGCCTTTCTCCTGTCCACAACCCCACTCCCTTCTAGCGCTGATGCTGCTACCTAGTTGGGTCATGAAACGCCTGCAAGAAAACCACCCAGCTCAGAGAGCACCAAGGACCCTGAGCTAAAAATATTCTCCTTTATTGGGAAAGACGAATATTCCCACCTAACGCGGCTTCTCATGCTTCTCTCCATTCCACGCAAAGTTTAAAACCAACCTCCGTTCTTCCTCTTTTGTTCTTCTTCTGCTTCCTTCTGAATTTCCTGGATGATCTTCTCGTCGTCCTCCTGTAAGAGAGAGGGAGAGCCAGGACGGTCACGAGAGATCTGGCTCGAGACGCTTAAACTTATACGTGCACAGTGTATAAAAAGGAAAACCCGCGAGGCTGAACGAAGAAGGGGGCCCCCCGCGGCTTCTGCTCTTAATAAATTAAGAGGGGGAGAAAAAATCTAATTTATTTTGCACACATGCGTTTTCAGACCTTGGCTCGGGGTCTGCTGATGTGTGTTCACGGCGGATCATCCCCGACTCCAGGACTGAAAAATATTTCACCGCTACCCCCTGCGTCTCTTGGCTCCTGAAATTTCATCCACAAGACTTCAAAGCATGCCTTGAGGTCTTCCCCTGAGGGAAGTGACTGCCCGGAGCACTTCTGAACAATCCTCATTCTTCTCCTTCTCAAATTTAACAGAGGGACACAGTTGGAAGGGACCTTGGAGGTCATCTAGTCCAACCTCCCCCCCCCCGCCCAAGCAGGAGACCCTGCACTATTTCTGACCAATGGCAGCCCAATCTCTTCTTGAAAGCCTCCAGGGATGAAGCTCCCACAACCTTCGAAGGCAACTTCTGTTCTTTACAGATTAACAGAGTTGGAAGGGACCTTGGAGGTCATCTAGTCCAACCCCATACTCAAGCAGGAGGCCCTACACTATTTATGACAGACGGCAGTCCAGTCCCTTCTTGGAAACCTCCAGGGATGAAGCTCCCACAACTTCAGAAGGCAACTTCTGTTCCNGGCAGAATTAGCCTGCAACGCTGCATTCTAACCACTGCGCCACCAGGGCTCTTCAACAAATAATTTCATCTTTTTGTGATAAACTTCCCGTCGTTTTCACCCAGGGCAAGTGACTGTTTGGAACTGCATGGATTCGAACATTTGCAGATAACAGCCACTGAGCCATCTGGGCATGGCTGTTGGCTAATGCCTTCTTCGGGACCGATTCTCCGTTGGAAACCAGGATACATCCAAAAACAAAAAACAGGGAGCACAAATTTTCTTTTAATTACAAAAAAAAAAAATCGAAATTACAATATAATACAGAAACTTTTTACACGCGGATTAGAACGGTTTCCTACCAGAAGGGTAAAGAAAAATATTCTTTTTTTTCCCCCCCGCTCTCCTGGTTTTGGGTCTTTTATTTTATTTTTTTTTATTTAGTTTTCAGCTATGTTATACAAAGTTGTAGAACATGCAACTCTTCCGTTGATAGGGCTTTGCTCCTTTAAATTAATTTCTCTCTCTCTCTTTTTTTTGCTAAGTGCAAATGCTAAATTTCTCTCTCCACCTTTTAAGGCAAGTTAAACGCAACACTGCAAAATTGATAATTGAAAGTACCTATTAAAATGTCAAAGTGGGGGGGGGAGCGGAATCCATATACTTCTCCTTGTCTACCCGTAAAAAGATGCAATCAATGCTTTCAGCGAGATAGATACTCTATACCGTATATATATTTATATATATATATATGCATATATATAAAAAAGAAGCTACCAATTAAAAAACACCTCACCACCACCACCCCCCGGCAAAAAATGGGATTTTCATACAAATTCCACCCTCCACCCAAGTAACTTCCCACGCCTAGGCATGTCCGTTTAAAAGATTCGAGGGGAAGATTCAGGTGAAAGAAGAGAGGGGGGAAAAAAGACAGAATTAGGCCAACTGACAACATCCAGGAGTTTTAAGAGAAAAAGATTTGTAAAAAAAAAAAGCAGAGAGGAAAATTCACACCCGCAACCTCGCAGACTTAATTGATCGTATTGCTGGAGCCCCGAATCCAGAAAGGGACAAAAATTAAAAAAAATTAAAGAAGAATCTAAAGGCTGGTCAGATTTGTTAAATCTCTTCGCCCAAACCTTGGTAGGAGTGGGTTTTCTTCGGAAGGGACAAAGGTTAAGACCGCAGGTGGCCTCCCATTTTATTGGCACAACCTCTGGAGGCGTGGTGGCCAAAACAACCTTCTCATCTTCCAAGTTTTGAATAGTTAGGGTTTTTTTAATTTAAAAAAGAATGGGTTTGTTATGACATTACCTGCTGCAGATTGGACCAATCATTCAATCAATCAATCAATCATCTCAGTGGGAATTGATAATCTGGAAAGTTCTGGAGATGTTTTGGGCACACTGTTTCTTCCTTTTTCATGTAGATCAGAAGTGTCCAAACCTGGGAACTTTTAAGACTTGTGGACTTCAACTCCCAGAATTCCCCTGAATTCCACAAGTCTTAAAGTTCCCAAGTTTGGACACCCCTGAGGTAGATAGTTTTGGAAAAAGCAAAGAGCCGATGGGAGTCAGATGCTTTTTGTCAATAACTTTTCCCTGATGCTTTGGACCTTTCTTCCTACCCATATTTTTCTTCCTCAAATGAATTGGGAGACTTGGCCTCAAGGAAAGCCCAAGAAACAGACATGTCACCGTTGAGTGGGCCAGCTGAAGTTCTCTAGAAGATGCTGAGGTGAGCATGGCTAGTGATGGAGAGAGAGCCTGGGCTTTTCCTTCTAAACCATTTCCCTGAAGCAGAGAGAAAATGGAAATAAGAAATTACTTCGTTAAATCAGGGCTCTCCAAACTTTCTCAGCAACTTTTAAGACCCGTGGACTTCAATTCCCAGAATGTAACTTCTGTAAGGATCTTCCGCTGGGTGGGGAATTCTGTGAGTTGGAAATCCACAGGTTTTAAAGTAGCCAAGGTCGGACGCCTCTTGAGTTAAATGATGAAGGAATTCTCACTTGTTATGGGCAACCTTGTTCAAGTACAGAAATGAGATCTAAGAGGCAGGTTGGGTTTTTCCACAACCAGAAGTAAATAAATTCAGCCTTTAACCAGCGGAAAAAACCGTGCTAATATTCTGGAACTTGAAGCAGAGGAAGGAGAGGGGAGAAGGGAATTTCTGCATCAGCAGATGAATGATGTAGGAGCAAACGAAGTCCTTTCCAGTTTAAATCTAGTCCAAATAGCCAAAACCTATCCAGAATATGTTTTTTTTAAAGAAACGAAGCTTTTAAGATGCAAAAGAACTTAATTTCCCAGGAATGAGGATTCTTTCTAAAACTCAAGCACTTCCACGAGAACAGGTCCCTTTGGGGTTTTAAGTGGTAGCAAAATTATTTTACATATATATATATATATGAGAGCGATGTACTGATAAGTCAACAATTTCTACCTCAAAGAAGCCCAACAGTTTTAAGATTAAGGTGCCGACTTTAAAAACCTGAATAAGATCCATTTAGCACAGTATCAAGATCAGCTCGGACTTGATGCGTTTCGTGGGCTTGGTTTCCGTGGCCGAACGGCAGCAAAGGAAAAAAAACAACACCCGATTTTGAATCTACGTGGCTAAATTGGGGCCGGAAGTGGCGACACTTGGAAGACAACAGAAAAAACTTTGGGATGGAAGAACTTTGGGAAAATATGGCTCCTCTCGGATTAAATCCCCAGCCAGTCCCAATACGGAGATGCGTTTTTACCGTCGGGCGCATCAAACTTTTTTCTCACCAAGGAAAAAAAGGGTCCCAAATTTGCCATGGGAACGTTCGGCTAATGGATCAGTCTGATCGATCGGGGATTATGTGTGGGCCACAAAGACCTACACATACACACACTGGGTTGTGAAACCCTCCCCCCCACTCCCTGCCCTGGAAGTGAGCAGCTATTCGAAGCCTCCAAGGTTTATTTCAGAATAATTTGAAAGAAAAAGTCTCACGGTAAAAAGAGTATGCATGATCACATCCAGAAGGAAAAGCAGGGAAAGGGGAGAATGTCGACCGTTTGGGGTATCCAGGAGGAAAAACAAACGCACATTTTAAAAAAGCTGGCTTGATAATATGGCGTGAAAAGAAACAGGTAGCTAGAATCAGGGAGGGAAACTCTTGAAAAACAGCTGTCTGGCTTCATTTCCCTGGCAGATCCCAGATTCTTTTCCACTCTAAACGGAGAGGGAAGAAGAAATGACAATATTTACGGGTTCGCTATGGCCAAAAGGATCCTGCCGTACAAGGAATAATAATAAGTTTTTTTTCTCAGGAGGGAAATTTGAAAATAAAATAAAATAAAAATAAAAAGGGAGGGAGGGAGCGATCTGGGAGACAAACAAGAGCCAGCCCAGATTCAACCACATCTTTTTTGTATTACTATTGCTTTGAGCTGGAAGCTGCGAGGAAGATTCCCTCGGTTGGGATTTATGTTTAGGAAAAGAAAAGAGAGAAAGCCGTTTTCTGCAATATTCCCACCCCCCCAAAAAAAACCTGGTGTCTGCCAAGATGCAAGAGGCCCTCAGCTTCCAGGCTTCTGACCCAGAGAGACCCTCCCTGGCCAAAACTTCAGAGCTGAGGGTCATCAACCTGATGTGGGGTGGCTGGAAGGTTCGGGGAAGGGAAGCTGTTTCTGAAGACAAGGAAGTTTTCCTTCCTGAAATTACGAGAACCAGTCGTGGTGCTCACTTCCTTTTCCTCCAAGCTCCCGCTGATCACGCAGGAGCTTTCTGAGGTCACCCCTCTTTCCCAATCAGCCACGGATTACCGAAGGGGGCTACAGGTGCACTGAAGATGGAAGGGGAGATTTGGGGGAGCAGGAACATTTGGAGAACAGTCCCTATCCGTCCATCCAACTGATTTAAACCATGGCTTTCTCAACCTGAGCGCAGGGGTGAAATGCTACAGGTTCGCCCGAACTGGTAGTGGAAAAAATGCTATCGGTTCGCCTGAAACTGGTAGTTCACCTACCGGTTCGGTTCCGACGATCAGCTGNGAGGGAGGGGAAGCAAGAGTAGGAGAGAGGGGAATTAAGAGTAGGAGAGAGGGGACGAAAGAGGAGAAGGGAGGAGGAGAGAGGGAAAGAGAGAGGAAGAAAGACAAAGGAGGAGGAGGGAGGGAAAGAGAGGGGAAGAAGAAAGGAGGGAGGATGAGGAGGGAAAGGAAGAAAGGGCAAAGCAGAGAAAGCGAGGGAGGGGAATGAAGAGTAGGAAAGAGGGGACGAAAGAGGAGAAGGGAGGAGGAGAGAGGGAAAGAGAGCGGAAGAAAAAAGGAGGAAAGAGAGGAGGAAAGAAAAAGGCAGAGAAGGGAGGTTGAGAAGGTGGAAGGAGTAACAAGATGGAGGATAGAAAATGACCCAAACTGTATTATATATACTTGTGTGTAAAAATGAGTATAGAGACTAATGATGAATGGACAAATGTTAAGTTGCAATTATAAGAATGTGTATTTGTGAATGAATTTGAAAGGGAAAAATAAAAAACTTTGGTCCTCCTATTGAAATGTATCTCTAAACACACCACTTGTCCAAGTGTTCTACGCACAGGAGTAAGTGCAAGTGGTTGCGGCAGTTCACTTAGCGACTATTGGAAGTTACGACGGCACTTTCAAAAAGTGACTTTATGGCCGTTTTTCACACTTACGACCGTGGCGGGCTCCCCCGTGGTCACCCGATGAAAGTTTGGAGTCTTGTCAACTGGCGTGAACTTGTGACGGTTGCAGTGTCCTGACGTGATCCCCATTTTGCGACCTTCTGACAAGGGAAGCCAGATTCACTTAACAACCTCATGTCTGCAGTGATTCACTTAGCGGCGGTGGCAAGAAAGGTCGTAAAACGAGGCAAAACTCACTTCACAGCCACCTCACTAAGTGATGAAAATTTTAGGCTCCAAATTGCGGTCATTAAGTTGAGGACTCCCAGTCTGCGTGTATCAAGGTGGCGTTCGTATCTTCCTCTGTTCATCGAGACAGACGGATATTGACGCTTGTCTAAATGTTGTCCCCAACACTGGTAGTCCTCCTCTTATGAACACAACCCAAATCTCCGCAGCTAAGCAAGGGAGCCGTTAAGTGAGTTTTGCTCAGTTTTACGACCTTTCTTCCTTGCCGTGGGAGTTAAGCGAATCGCCATGTTTTCTTCCCGCCTGCTGCAATGGCCGCTGGCGAGTGACTTCCTTGGCGTGCGACAGCCAGGATGTGAATCCTTTCAAGGTTGCCCTTGAGATGCTTCTGGGATGTTTGTGGAGAGGAGAATGCGAAGCACATGTGGGCATTTGTGGCTGGAGGATCGGCTGACGTTTACAAGGGACGGCGTTAAAAAGGAAGATTTGTAGCTATCAGCTGTAGAACAAAGCCACGAGAACTCCTTCCAAAATTCCCCTCTCCAGAACGGGTTGCTAAGATAAAAAGTTTTCTTCCTTCTTTCTTTCTCTCTCTCGCTCTCTTCTTCCGAAATTCCTTTCTCCAGAACAGGTTACTAAGATAAAAAGTTTTTCTTTCTTTCTTTCTTTCTTTCTTTCTTTTTCTTTCTTTCTTTCCCCTCTCTCTCTCTATCTCCCTCCCTCCTTCCTTCCTTCCTTCCAAAATTCCCCACTCCAGAACAGGTTGCTAAAGTAAAAAAATGTACTTCTTTCTTTCTCTTTTTCTTCCTTTCCTTTCCTTTCTCTCTCCCTCCCTCCCGCCTTCCTTCCAAAATTCCCCTCTCCAGAACAGGTTGCTAAGACAAAAAGTTTCTTTCCTTCCTTCCTTCCTTCCTTCCTTCCTTCCTTCCTTCCTTCCTTCCTTCCTTCCTTTCTCTCTCCCTCCCTCCTGCCTTCCTTCCTTCCAAAATTCCCCTTTCCAGAATGGGTTGCTAAGATAAAAAAAAAAGTTTTCTTCTTTCTTTCTCTCTCTCTTTCTCTCACTCACTCCTTCCAAAATTCCTTTCTCCAGAACAGGTTGCTAAGGTAAAAAGTTTTCTTTTCTGTTCTCTTTCTTTCTTTCTTTCTTTCTTTCTTTCTTTCTTTCTTTCTTTCTTTCTTTCTTTCTTTCCTTTCTCTCTCTCCCTCCCTCCCTCCCTCCCGCCTTCCTTCCTTCCAAAATTCCCCTCTCCAGAATGGGTTGCTAAGATAAAGTTTCCTTCCTTCCTTCTTCTTTCTTTCCTTTCTTTTTTTCTCTCTCCCTCTCCCCTCCTTCCTTTCTTCCAAAATTCCCCTCTCCAAAATGGGTTGCTATGATAAAAAGTTTTCCTTCCTTCCTTCCTTCCTTCCTTCCTTCCTTCCTTCCTCCCTCCCTCCCTCCCTCCTTCCAAAACTCCTTCCTCCAGAATGGCTTGCTAGATAAAAAAGTTTTCTTCCTTCTCTCTCTCTCTCTCTCCTACTCCAAACAGACAGTCGTAGAGAACTTCTTACAGTGAAATACCAAATTATGGAAATAGCGAAGGAGCAGCCCACGGTGCCTCTGGCAGCCAAACGGGGTGTGGGGTGTGGGGCATGCAGCCTTCCTGCATCCCGTTTTGGTTGGCAGGGTGCTGGAAGAGGCATCCATCCCTTCTCCTTTGCCCCATCCCGGCCAGCCCACAGAGGAGAACTACAATGCCAAACTGGCCCTCAAAGAGATCCAGTTTGACACCCCCTGATCTAAGGCTCACGGCCCCTTCAGGTTGCCCAGCTCTGCTCGGGACTGGAAGTCTCCAGGCTAGCCGTGACTTGGGGGGGCGGGGGGGGGGAGGCAGAAAACTAAAGAGGGAGGGGAAAAACCCCCCCAAAGACCAGAAAGAGAGTAGAGAAGCAAAATCCCCCCGATCAAACTGCCAGACAATCTTGATTGCTGAAGCTTCCCCCAGCAGACGGATTCCTTTCCAGCTCAGAAACAAAACCCCGAAATAAAACAAAAATTTTCTCTTACAAGATATATTTACAGTCTTTGTATCAAGCCGGAATAACTGGCTAATTATTTCAGGATGGAGGGAGTTATATTTAAAAGTGGCGTTTTTCCCATGAGTCACTAGGAATTGGGTCCCTTCCATCTGTAATTTGATATGCAGGCATATATAGATCTCTCTCCCCCCCCCCAATTTTTTTTCTCTCTCTCCATGTGTGGGCACAGCTGTTCCCAATAAACTCAAAATGCTTTCATGATGTATGGATGTTCGGAGGGAGGAGGAGAACAAGGACTTTTTTTAAAAAAAAGAGAGACAGATCATTCCCATATTAAACCAGGGATCGTCCCAACAGCAATTGGGAAACGGTGACTGAGCCCAGCCGAATCTCGCCGAGAAAGTGGAAAAGTAAAGGCAGAGAGGCAGGGTTGAAATGGGGAAAGGACACCAGCAGGACAAGAGCGGGGAGAAGATAAGAGTAACAGAGTTGGAAGGGACCTTGGAGGTCTTCTAGTCCAACCCCCTGCTCAGGCAGGAAGCCCTAGACCAGGGGTCTCCAACCTTGGCCATTTGAAGACTTGTGGACTTCAATTCCCAGAATTCCTCAGCCAGCAAAGCTAGCAAAGCGAGTGGGCGGGGAAGCCTCATGGTCCTGTGCGGGCCGAATTAACGGCTTTGGTGGTCAGGTAGTTTGAGGACCCCTGGATAGAGGAGATAGATAGGGGATGACGCCACTACCACAACCACTCGTGAAGGGTGCTAAGGAATGGCGCTTTTTAACCGCAGCTGGACACTCGTGGGGTCAACCCCCTTGGGATGGTGGAGAGGACCTCGGGGAAGAAATCCACGGGTGTGTCCCAGGCACTTACCGTGGGGTCCGTCCAAAGGGAACACCTGGCACAGTCTTGACACGGGGCTCCCGGGGAACGAGGGTGCTGGCAGAAGTGGTCGTACCCGTTAATGGCAGCTCGGCAGAGGTAGCACATCTGGGCCCCGCAACGACACGACATGCGGTTGCAGCCTTCCGATTTGATCAAGCCGGTGGCGCATTTGTGGCACTTCCTGATGCGGGCCGCCGTCATCTTCTCTTCTCTGGAAGGCAACAGGGTCAAGAGTAAGGCGGGTGCCGGAAAGAGGACGGTTGGATTACGGGTGGACAACGGCTCCCGTGCTGGACGGCTGCATTATTTGAACAGACTGCGTATTATGATTAGGATTATTGTCGTATCTCTTACTGAAAACTAATTGTACCCACACAACAAGTTGCTCGGATAGATAGGGAGGTTTTTATGTATATTTTTAAAAAAATATCAATAAAACACACAAATATATATGTATGTATATATATATTTGGTGTTTTGTCAAAGCATAATCATAATCATTCCCCTGGCTCAGCTGATGAGGGAGGAGAGCTTGTGGCTTAGAGGTTAATACAACTGCCTAATATGTAAAAACAGACCAGGTTCAAATCCCAGTAAGGGTATGGCTAGCTAATGAGAGCTAAATAGCTTGAAATAGATCTATACTAGTCTCTCTTCATTTATCAGCAAAAAAAAAGTATGTGTGTATGTTTGTGTGTGTGTGTGTTTATGTTGTATTTGTGCTGATAAATAAATAAAGGGCACAAATACAACAAATGTAATAAAAAGGCAACAGTAAATATATTGGGTTTCTGTCTGGATGGTCTCTTGTGATGAGCCGAAGGACAGAGAATGGAAGTAGTGATCTTCCTCCCATATATGGGCATACCGGGGGTTGTAACTCTAATGTATGTATGTATATATGTATGTATGTATGTATGCATGTATGTGTTTTTTTATTTGTGCTGATAAATAAATAAAGGGAGACTAGTATAGATCTATTTCAAGCTATTTAGCTCTCATCAGCTAGCCATGGTATATATATA